TGTGCCCTGACCAGGAATCAAACCTTGACTTCCTGGTTCATAGGTCGACGTTCAACCACTGAGCCACGCCTGCTGGGCTCATTGTGGTGTTTTGATTTGCATTTCCCTGATGACTAGTGATGTTGAACATCTTTTCATGTGTTTGTTGGACATTTTTATATCTTCTTTGGAGAAATGTCTATTCAAGTCCTTTGTGCGTTTTTGAATTGAGTTGTTTGAGTTTTTTGTTACTGGGTTGTAAGATTTCTTAATGCATTCTGGATCTTAATCCCTTACCAGACATGACTTGCAAATATGTCCTCCCATTCTGTGGATTGTGTTTTCACTCTTTTGATAGTACCCATTGATGCACATTTTAAATTTTGATGAAGTCCTATTTTTCTTTTCCTACCTGTGCATAATTTAACTTTTAATGTTAATTTGTGAATAAAATTGTTTTCAGTATGGCACAATACTTCCTGAGATAGAAAATACAGTAGAATAAGCAATTATTTTTTTACTTTTTAAATATGTTTTTATTGATTTCAGGTAGAGGAAGGAAGAGCGAGAGATAGAAGCATCAGTGATGAGAGAGTCATTGATCAGCTGCCTCCTGCATACCCCCCTTTGGGGATCAGGCCCAAAACCTGGGCATGTGCCCAGACCAGGAATCGAACCTCGATCACCTGGATCATAGTTCAATGCTCAACTGCTGAACCACGCCGGCCTGGCAAGCAATGATTTTAGAGTTAGATCTTCTTTACTTTCTTTGGAACTGAGTTTTTCATTTGCAGGAGAGCAGTGTTATCACCCTCACAGGGTTATTGGGCTTTAAGAGAAAGCAATATAAAGCCATCTTACAGTAAGAAAGAGGTATCATTACTTTCATCAAATCTCTAGTAAAAACACAATTTTTATGAAAGCACAATATTACTCATCACTCAAAGTTGTGAGGCTTAATAGAGTGTTAAGTTATTTTTTTGTAATGGAAAGTTGGTTAGCCAGATTGCTCGTGCTTAGTTGGATATAATATGCATTTATTTAATAAAAATTGCTTGATAAGTAAGCGAGCTTTTGCATTTGTAATGATTATTTTAATGGAGTAAATTTTTGTTCTTTTCTCAAGGCCTACATGAACCCAATAGCAATGGCCAGATCAAGGGGTCCAGTCCAGTCTTCAGGGCCAACGATCCAAGATTATCTGAATCGACCAAGGCCTACCTGGTATTTTGAAATAATTTACTATTTATGAAGTTTTCATAAATATTTTAAAGGTTACTGTGATAACTTGTATTGATTGCCAAGCAGTTGACAGATGAGTAATTTTTAAAAAATTTATCTTTATTGTTAAAAGTATTACAGATGTCCCCTTTATTTTCCCCATTGCCCACTTCCTACCTGCCCCTGCCCTCCCCCCCTGCAGGCCTTCACTACACTGTTGTCTGTGTCCATGGGTTATGCATATAAGTTCACTCCCCACCCACTCGCCTCCCCTCTGAGATTCATCAGTCTGATGTGTAGTTTTTGAAGTAATATTTCATATGTGCTCTTTTTTTTTTTAATGTATGAAACACATGCATGAGTGTAAAGGAAACATTTGAGAGACCACCACCCAAAATAGCTAAGGCACTACCAGATAACCTTTTCATACCAATCTCTTCTCTGTCCCCTAAAAATAAACTTAACCTTGCAGTGTTCTATTTAAAATGGTAGATTTGAGTAATCTCATCCTTCGTTGAGATGTAACTAGGTGTTAGGAAGGGTAATGTTAGGTCTTGTTTCAAGTTTTATCTGCTGGCTTTTCAGTGAGTTAGAATTTCCCATTGTAAGATTTTTGCTTTAAATTGATGGTTTTTTGCCCTTGTTGAATGGCACTGACCTTTTGTAAATAAAGCTCATAGCACTGGCCTTACTGTTTGTAGTATGTCTTCCTTGTTATTGCATATCATATTCTTCCTTATTATTAAATAGCTTGACATATGATATGCTTCAGAGTTGTGAGTTACAAACTCTTTCTAAGCTCCTCTAGAAGCTAGGCAACTGTAGTTGAAAGTTGTGCTTACATGTAACAGAATCTTCCTTTGACTTAAACAGGAAGTAAGCATGTCACCTTTTACAGTGTTCATGGGTATTATTGTTAACTGTGACAAAATACCAGAAAATAAATGATCCCAAAATAAAATATATTTTGTATTTAAGTTGGAGAGAAGTAATGAACTTATCAAGGATTGTGCTCAAGCAGGTATTACCTGTGTGTCAGAGGTCCCCAAGGCAAGTCTCAGGTTGACTAATTCCCTAGGACTCACAGATAGTTGTGCTCATAGGAAAGATTTATTACAGTGGGAGGATACCAGCCACAGTTAGCAAAAGGAAAAGGCGCATGGGTGAAGTCTGAGGGAGACTGGGGGCAGGCTTCCAAGGCTTCTCTCCTGTGCAGTCGCCCAGGATGTGTTTAGTTCTGTTAGCAAGAGTTGTGATAACACATGTGAGATGTTGCCAACCAGAGGAGTTCATGGATAGTCTGTATGCCCAGGGTTTTTATTGGGAACTGGCCAGCCTTTGTGTATTAGGTGCCAAAACACCAGACTCTCCAAAGGAATGCAGGTGTTCAGCCTAAACCATAATGTTTGTACAAACAGGCACAGTGAACCACTTTTATCGGAGTGGTAAGGACCCTCCTAAAATCCAAGTTCCCAGGCGCCAGCCAGAGCCAGTCTTGTAAGCAGGCCTTTCTATGAATAAGCAGTCAGATGTGCTTGTTCTCGTTTCTGCACATGTTTGAGGAACGTTATAAGATGGATGATTTACTAATAGAATGTAGTATTTTAATCAAATAGATTTTAGCTCACGCTAACGCTGATACTATCGAAGCTTGGTGACCTTAGGCAGATTTCCTGCCTGCCCCAAGCTGCAGCTTTTTTTTTTAAATCCTCATCCAAGGATACTTTTTCAGTTGCTTTACAGAGAAAGTGGGAGGGGGGGAGAGACAGAAACATTGATGTGAAAGACACATCGATTGGTTGCAGCCCGCGTGTGCTGTGAGCTGGGCCGGGGATCGAGCCTGCAACCAAGGTTCGTGCCTTTGGCTGGAATCGAACCCTGGACCCTTCAGTCCACAGGCTGAGGCTCTAGCCACTAAGCAAAATCAGCAAGGGCTCAAGCTGCAGCTTTTATCTGTAAAATAGTACTACTTTTGTCTTGGGATTGTTGTGAAAATTAAAGGAAAATTTATTTAAAACAGTGCCTGTAGCATGTAGTGCTGAATTGGCTTTTATAATCCATGTTTAGAAAAGTAGTGATTAGTGTTGCCTGATAGACTTTATTATGTTAATTGATTTACAAGGATGTGAACACAAATTTGAACTGTATCAATACTGGAATGGAGGTTTATAAATTAGGATATTAAGAAAAACTTTTTTATGAAATTTTGTGTTGTTTATAAGCATCCATCTCTAATTTGAATTGCTTGAAAACATTTTTACATTCTGTGTTTTAAGGGAAGAAGTGAAAGAACAACTAGAAAAGAAAAAGAAAGGCTCCAAGGCATTGGCTGAATTTGAAGAAAAAATGAATGAGGTTTGTAAATAGTACCTTTTTTTAAAAATAGACTAATATTTGTTATAAGAAGAAGGAAATAATTTTTTAATAAACCAAGAGTTTGGGTCTAGTTCTGTAGGTTAAGGGGGCTCTGTATTTTATAGGTGTTTTTGTTATACTGAGTACAGGTTTGTATATAAATTTTATGACCTTTTTAAAAAATAGAGGAAAACCATCTTATAGTAATTTAAATCATCTTGAAGTTTTCTAAATGTTAGGTTTTTCCCCTTCTTTCCCCCATCCCCATGCCCCCATCTTACCCTGAGATTTCCATGGTGATATTTGCTTGGTGTGATTGCAAACATGTATGTAGTAAGTATTTCATCCACAGTAAAGATTAATTTAACTTTCACTGTTTGGAAAAAGAATCTAACCGTCTTTGTTAGAAGGAAAAAAATTCTTCAGCCTCAGTAATAATACCTACTCTCAATATATACAATATACAGTGGAGAGTTCTCATCCCTTAATATCCTCTTTGAAAAGTGCTGGTAGAGGCTCGTGTGGTGGTAGTTCTGGCACCTGGAGTGTCTTTTGTAATTAGAGGCTGGGTTGGGTAAGGGGATGGAGAGAAGGAAACAGTGGCTGTCTTATCTATTAGGTCTATTAGAAGGGAATAGATGTACCCTGATGGTATTTATAACCTTTACAGAACTGGAAGAAAGAACTAGAAAAACACAGGGAGAAATTATTAAGTGGAAGTGAGAGCTCCTCCAAAAAAAGACAGGTAATACCATTTTTACTTTATTGCTGTCCTTAATCTCACATTTGGGTTTCCATAATACTGCTGTGTACTATTATTAATAGATACATTTGAAAATTCACACCAACTTGCTTAGATCTGTGCTTTTGTTTGCTTTTAGAGAAAGAAAAAAGAAAAGAAGAAATCTGGTAGGGTGAGCGAAACTTTTCCATTTTTCTAAATATTACAATTAAGAGCCTATGAAAAAAGTAAGAGTAATTTATATAGCCTGTATGCTAACTCTAGATCAGTCAAAGAGCCTGGAGGCCCTTTGCTTGTTATGGGTGATTTTGTTCTATTTCTGATATCAAAAACAGGTGCCAACCTCCTCATAACCTAGTAACTTCTGTATTGCTATTAAAGAGGGGAAATTGACCACCATCGCTGTATCTGTTACTCTGTGTGTGTGTGTGTGTGTGTGTGTGTGTGTGTGTGTGTGAGAGAGAGAGAGAGAGAGAGAGATATTTGATGTTTTAATATTTAAGTTTTATGAAAATAGCATTTGTTTCTCAGACACTAGATTGATTTTAAGTATTTGAGAGACTTAGTAAAAGAAAAAAATTCCTGCATCTCACAAGCTTTAATTGTTTTGTGCTTGGTCAAGTATTCATCTTCTTCTTCATCAAGCTCTGATTCTTCCAGCAGTTCTTCAGATTCTGAAGACGAGGTAAGGATTGCCTATAACGATTCATGAAATACCTGAAATTTCTTTAATGACAAAGGAAACACATTATGGAATATCAGTTAAAAATGTTCACTTCCAGGTTTTGATTACTTATCTATAACTGAGAGCACTGACATAAATAAATATCTAGATATTTAAATATTGATGTATATATTTTTTAGATTTCTGAATTTGTCTTGTTCATTTAAAAATAAGAGAAGAAATGATTGGAAAAATGTAAAATGCTATTTGATTAGATGCTAGGAATTGTGACTCAAATCACTTGACTTTTTTATAAAACAGGAAATTGATATGTTAAATTTTAAATATTAAATAAAACATGTTTATAAGCTGGTCCTTTCATTAACTTTTGTTCATTGATAAAGATTTGATATTAGTGAAATGCATCAATTATATTTTTGAAACAGAAAGCAAACGTTTCTAAACATTTTTATATAGGATAAGAAACAAGGAAAAAGAAAAAAGAAAAAGAAGAACCGTTCGCATAAGTCTTCTGAGAGCTCCATGTCAGAGACGGAATCAGACAGCAAGGTAAAATTACTTGAATTAGCAACATTTTGGGTAGCGAAGACATATAATTAGGTTTTTCTTTTAGTTTTTCCTATCTTAAATTGCTCTCAGTTTAAAAATGAGATACTATTTTTTATACTGTGATGCTCTCTGCCAATACCTTACATATGGCATTTTATTATTCTTTAAATACTTACACACACATTTCTGTCTCTCAACATTTCCATGACAGCTTTATAACAAGCCTGGCAGGCATTGTTTTTCACATTTTCATGAAGTCACAGTTCAGAGAAAAAATGTCTTGCTTAAATGTATACAGCTAGTATTAGAACTGGAAGTTGAATCTGTCTTCTCCTATTTGGTCCAATGTCTTTTCTACTGTACCTAAGTCTGTTCTGTACTATCCAGATTTTTCTGACACAGTTTGCTCTCAAACAGTAGTGGTCATAAGAAATACATGTTGCAATAAAAATGTAGATTCCTGGGCCTCATTTTCAGAGTCTGATATAGTAAGTCTGATTAGGTTCAAAAGTCTATGTTTTTAACACATGTCCTCTGTGATTCTGACATGGGTGTCCAAGGACCACAATTGAACAAACAATGTCCTAATGTCCCAGGAGAACAAAGCAACTGTATTGTTTTGTGGCAGATATCTGCCCCCAGTGAGATTTCTTCTGACAAAATGCCTGGTGTCTAGGAAGTATTCAGGAAATGTTGATTTTTTTTCCTTTGTTTTTTAAAGCCGAAGAGCTAGTCTAATGACAGCCGATAGCTAACATTTATTGAATGCCTACTACATGTTACTCACAGTTCTAAGCACTTGACATGTTAACTCAGTTCTCTTAACCCTATGAAGTAGATATTTATTGTCCCACTTTATGGATAAGAAAGGCTCAGGGACGTTAATAGCTAGAACTGGGGGATTCAAAAGCAAAAATTCTTACCTCCCTCCTTATAAGGAGAGTAGGGAAATCAGATTGGTAGATGTCCTGAGCACACAGTGAATTAGAACTCCAGTGCATGTTACCACCACAGACAAAAATATGCAATGGCATAAAGTCTTCACAGACAATATGTCATTTTTGGTGTACATAGATTTGATATATGGCCAAATACATGAAGAAGCCTCATTTCCTTACAAGCGCATACACACAACACATTTTTTCTGTATTTTTAAAATAAAATTCTGGTATTGAAGTAAACTTTTTTCAGTTATAGAACAAATCACCTTTTTGGTATTTTTGTCTTTATGCTATTATGCTGTATCCTTTACATTTAAAATTTACATATATATATATTTATTTGTTTAGGATAGTTTAAAAAAGAAAAAGAAGTCAAAGGATGCAAGTGAGAAAGAAAAGGTAATTATAATTTTACATCGCCTTTAGTAGTCTATCATACAATACTTCATTCACTTCAAGAAATAATGTGTTCCCCTTTTTAAATTGAGATTTAAACATTTTTTTTGCTTCTGTGATGTTTTGTGCTGATTTAAGGAAATTATTTATTAGTTTCATTATTGAAGGTAAGAGATCAAAAGAGTAGTACTGCAGAAAGTTTGAATTTGTGTGGTCTAATAAATTATCTCAGATTAAAAATTTTAAGTAATAGAGATTAAACATTTCCTTTGTTTTTTCAAGTCATTTTAAAGGAGACTTTTTTTTTTAATATATTGATTTCAGAGAGAAAGGGGGAGGGAGGAAGGGAGAGAAACATCAGTGATGAGAATCATTGATCACCTTCCTCCTGCACGCCCCCTGCTGGGGATCTAGCCTGAAACCTGGGCATGTGCCCTGAGTGGGAATCGAACCTAGGTTGATGCTCAACTGCTGAGCCACGCCAGCTGGGCATAAAGGAGGCCCTTTTAATGAAAGAACATGGACTTATATTTCAAATAGAGTATATTTAGATAAGTTTTGAAAAAAATGCTTACTACTGTAAGTAGATATTTTATCTTTACTTGTGATTTAACTATAATTAATGCTAAATTTATCCCTACCCATGTTTCAGATACACATTTTAAAATCTTATTCTGATTATTAAAAATAAAAACCTAAAGAAAGCAATTACTAATCAAAGAAAACTATGAATGAGTGTCACTATATTTTACTTTTTATATCATTTTTTAAAATTGAGGTGAAATGCACATATTCTATTAATCATCTTTAAATTACAACTCAGTAGTATTTAGTGTGTGTACATGGCTATGCATCAACCACCTCGCTCTAGTATTAAAACTTTTTCATTACCCCTTTGAAAACAACCTGTTAAGTATTCAGTTCCCATTTTCTTTCCTCCCATTCCCAGGTAACCTCTAATCTGCTTTCTCTCTTTCTGGATTTGCATACTCATATTATGGATATGTCATATAAAAGCAATCATACAATATGTCATCTTTCCTGTCTGGCTTTTTTTATTTAGTGTAATATTTTTGAGGTTCATCCAAGTGGTAACATATATATCAGTATTTTGTTCCTTTTCATGAATGTATATACCACAATTTATCCATTCATCTATTGGTAGACATTTGAATTGTTTCTACCTTTTGGCTAAGATGAGTAATGCTGCTGTGAACATGTGTGTACAAGTTTCTGTGTGGAAATAATGTTTTCTTTTATCTTGGGTATATACCTAGGAGTGCTTGTGATACCAGTTTGCAAATAAAAATCCATTAAGACACTAAAAAAAAAAAATCTCATGACCAAGTTGGGTTAATTACAAGGATTCAAATATAAGAAATGCATTAATATAATGTGTGGTGTAAACTGGCCAAATGAAACCATACGATTATTTTAATAGTTTTCAAAAGGGTGTGGTGTGATTCAACATTAATTCCTCACTTTCAAAACCATTATAGAATAAGTGATTATTTTCATGTTTTTTAAAAAAAAAATGTATGTGTCATATGTGGGATATAAAACAAAAGCAACAAATGAACAAACCAAACAAACAAACTCATAGATACAGACACAGAATGATAGTTATGAGAGGGAAAGGATAGGAGGTTGGGGAGGGCAAACAGGGTCAAGGGGTTCAAATATGTGGTGGTGGAGGGAGACTAGACTTCGGGTGGTGGGCGCACAGTGGATTATACAGGTGATGTGTTATAAAGTTGTTCACCTGGAATTTATATAATGTTTCTAACCAGTTACCCCAATAAATTTACATATTTTTGAATGTATGTGTGAAACTAAAACCTGGTAATATACAAACATGAAATACTAGAGCACCTGCTCCTGCGTTGTGATTTTGAAGCACTTCAAAATAATATAAGGCACAGAGTAATATACATAATAAAGAATAATATAAATATCCATTAACAAATGATGAACATTTTGTCATATTTGCTTCAGGTTTTGCTTTATTTTAAAAAAAAAAAAGTACCAGACACTTTCTCCTTATTTAGAAGCAGCCATTTCTGAAATTAGTGCCCATCCTTCCTTCCACATTTATACACTTTGATTGTATACATTCATAAATAGCATAGGGTATTTCCTATTTTCACAATGGTATCATTGTGTTTCCTTCTGAAACTTGCTTTTTTCACTCAACAGTGCTGTTGACATTTATCCTTGTTGATCCTCTCAAGTTTGCTTCTTTTGCTTATAGTATTCCATTATATTAATTTGCCACAGTTTACTTCTCCATTCTCCTGTTTGTGGACATCGAGACTGTTTTCATTTTTCAGTAATGCAAACAGTACTTCAGTGACTATTTTTTATCCATTTTTCCTTTCCCACAAGTTATTTTTAATTTTCTGAGATATGCTTGAGATTGTAATTTCTGGGTTCTAGGATGTACATACATTTAACTTTTCTACCTTTTGCTCACCAAAGTGTTTATTATTAATTTCCATTCCCACTAGTAGCGCATGACAGTATTCTTGTTACATACATACATGTCAATACTGGGAGGCTTTCCTTTTTGTTAGTATAATGCGTATAGATCAACAATTTTCAACCGATGTGCTGCAAGAATTTTTAAAACATGCAATACCTGACAATTTAGTCAGGGGCACTTACCTCTTTTCCCTTAGATTATCAAATAAAAAAATGGCAACAGCCAACACAACGGTAGCTGTCTAGAGTGAAGAATCAAATTATACCTTCGTTTTTTTTGGTCAGATTGGCAAAATGTATTTTTTGGCGTGCTACCAAATTTGAGTAATTAGTTTATGTGCCATGAGATAAAAAGGTTGAAAGTCACTGGTATAGATGGTTGAACTTTTTAATTTACTTGTTAGCCATTCAGATTTCATCTTCTGTAAGTTGTGAATTGCCTTGTTTAGTCTTTGCCCTTTTTTTGTTGGATTGTTTTTGACCTTTCTGATTCATAAGAGTTCTGTATTTTAGATACTATTACTCCTTTATACGAATGATTAACACTTTTTGGTGTATAGCATCTCTTAATCTTGTTTAGGGTTTCTGTTGTAATCATGTAAGGGAAAGGTAATTTTAAGTCATATATCAACCATTGTTTTCAGCTCCATTTTTATTTTAAATTGTTGTGAAAGTGCAATGTGATATCCAATTAGAAAACATAGTGGAAGAAAATATCCCAGTTATAATAGTAACAAAGAATATATAAGAAAATTTTGAAGAATTGAGTAGGACTTATTTGAAGAAAACTATAAATCTATTCAGAGATGCATATGAAGATTTAATAAATGTTCCTGGGTATGACTTTCCCTACTAGATGTTTTAAATGCTTTGATTAAAACAGTGTAGTATGGTACCAGAATAGAAAAAGACAATGGAACAGAATAGAGTTCAGGTTAAAATTTTTAAATATTTATGTAATTCACTATATGATAAAGGTTGCTTTTCTTGGGACAAAATGACTAGCCATTTGGAAAATATAAAGCTGGACACTCATTAAGGCCAAATAAATTCCAGGTAAATCAGAGTTTTACATTACGAAAATATAACTAGAGAAAGACATGATTAACATAATCCTGAGGTAGGGAAAGACTGTGCCTCAAAAAACAAACTTGTACCACATAATTCTAATTCTGAATGGCAAAAAAATCACAAAAGAATAAACCATGAACAAAGTTTAAATATAATGAACAGATTTAAGTAAAACGAGGAATACATCACTCAAAAATTTAGTGATCTTCAGTATTAAAGAACATTTCACATACAGAAAAACTGGTAAACTACGTGGTTAGTAATTCTAAAAGTAAATATGAACTTTAATCCAATAATCTGATAATATGATAAAAGAGCCTGATTAAAAAAGGCTTTTTGGTAAAGTGTGACTCATAAAAGAATAAAATAAAAGACTATTGTGGGGTTGTGAGAGATTGAGAAAATCATTTGGGTGAAAGCTACTTTGGTCTTTGACTTAGTCATTATTATTAGGTAAAGATTTTGCACTCAGATACCCTTCACTGTATTTCAACTTTGTCTTTAATAGCAAAGAACCCATTTGCCTGCCCTCCAGAAGGAGATTGGTTAAGTAAATTGTGGCATATACTTTCAATGAATGTCAAAGGCCGCCATAAATGACGATGTAGTTGGCATGGAAAGATACTATTGGGTGAGAAGAGCGGGTTCCAAACAGCAAGTATTTGTGTAAAATTGTAAATATACACATAGAAGGATGTTTCCAAAAATCTTAATGATGTTTAATCAACCTGGTAGTGGGATTTAGGTGAATTTTCTTACAATGAGCATTTATCATTTCTACTAAAATAATAAACCTGTTAATCACCTATAATCTAATACATAAGGTCATCACTGTTTATTTTCTACATGAATTTTTTGTTTATATCTTCAAAATTGGGTTCATGCTATATAAAGTTTTATATTATCTTTTTCTGTATAGGATTAGGGATGAGCACTTTTTATTGTGTGGTTTTGTTGTTATAAACTACTTCAGATATACCAAAAAAGTATATGGAAAATAATAAAATGATAACCAGCATGTCCACTTTGAAGCTTTAATAAATCCTAACAGTTTTTAACAAATCCTAACACTTTTTATTTCTTAAAATATATATTTAAGTCCTAAGTACTCCTCCAGTTCCACTCTGAGACCCTCTCTTTCCCCAGAGTTATGCATTTTTTCATCATTAAAAATACTTAGGGATTAAGATTTTTTTTAAATGTGAATTTAACACTTAATACACTAAAGGAATTACTGTGTACAGATCCTTAGGTCATTGCAAGTAATTACCCACTGAATTTTCTCCTCTGCAGTACTAGGCCTGTCTGATCCAACACTGAATAGAAACAAAAGGATTAGAATAGAAGGGACCCACATTTTACACTGTCTGTGAAATAGTTCCTTATGACTTTAAAATTCTGTCACAGAGTTAAAGAAGATGAGGAGGATGTTATATCTAAGTGGATATGTAGTTATTTGTTTTCAGGTTATTTAATAAAAGCGTTACTTTCTTGGAATTAAAGACTGAATCCTGCTAAATGTCACCAATTTTAGACATCTCTAAAATGAAAATGGATGATTTTTACGATAATTGGAAGAAATGTTAATAGAACTTAGAAACAAAATTTGCAAGGCATAGTAATGTCTTTTTGAGTCAAGATACGTGTATTTTTTGTTTAATAGGACATTAAAGGACTCGGCAAAAAGAGAAAGATGTATCCTGAAGATAAACCTTTATCATCTGAGTCCTTATCAGAGTCAGATTATATTGAGGAGGTAAGTATATGATCAAATCTATTTTCTTTACTTTAAAATGTTTAGTTATTTGATTTAATAAATATTAATTGAAAAAATACTTCATAAGTATTTGATTTACTTTTTTAGTATGATGTACCGTTAAAAAGGAAAGGAAGTTGTTCATTTCAGAATAAGTTCTGCAATTTTCCATAATTATATTACGATTTTTATAATTAACCATATTTTCACATTTCCGATCTGAGATATGTATGTTATTTTTATTCTTCTAATAATCTTTTTTTATTATACTACCTTTTCGATTACATGAAGGATGCTGTGTGATGTCTAGCGGATTGAGTTCCCTTGTTTTTGTTAGGAACTTCTATTTAGGTAGCAGAAAGGTGATGAGGTGGAGCAGAAATGTTGGCATGATCTCAGTTTTTCTATCTATAAAGTGAAGGAATAGGATGAAGTCAGTTATACAGTCCTTTTCAGCTCTGATATCCCTGTCTTGGATTTTGTACTCTCTTGGAATTGGAGTCCATTTTTAGTTAGTTTTAGGTCTGTAAGTTATCATCCTTAAAGTATTTCTTGGAATTGGTTTCCTCATTTGTAAAATAGGTCCTATTGCTGTTATGTTGTAGCAATATTTTGTAATGGACCTTGAAGTGAAATTTAGTTTTTATATAAATACCTTAATTAATATATATAACACCTACACATTTTTATATTACTGTCCCCTAACAGAAATAGAAGAAAATATTGTATTGTTTTTAATTAAATTATATTTTACTACATAAATGCTTGAATATTTAATACATAAATGCTTCTAGGAAACTAATGTCTCAGGAAAAAGGAAGAATACCCTGGCCGCAGATGTATTCTGTTTCCATTTCAGTGTTTTACTGTTAGAAATATCAGCTCAGTGTTTTGTTTGAGTTTCTTAAGGTGTAGAATGATATTAAGGTATGGTGATTCCCTCTATCTTAAAACCCTGCACAAAATACTACATGTTCACAGTACAGTAAATTTAGCTTTTCTATTATAAATAGATTCATTTCATGAATGTCTAGCAGGCTATTGAGAAGTCATGTCAGGGCTCTCCTGGACATTGCATGATAGATAGCGTCTTGTGTCTTGGCCTGGTTAAGCAACACAGCTGCTGCTACTACAGTTGTTGTCACAAGAATAACAAAAAATAATAATTTCCTAAGTGCTTTCTAGAGCACTTGTCTTAATGTAAAATATGTTACATTTGGACTTAACATTAAGTACACCTGAGCATTAGCAACTTTGAATTTAATCTGTATCAATGTTCCATACTTTAAAAGATTGAAATAAGCCCAGCCAGGCGTGGCTCAGCGGTTGAGCATCGACCTAGGATCCAGGCGATCGGGGTTCGATTCCTGGTCAGGGCACATGCCCGGGTTGCGGGCTCAATCAATGACACTGTCATCGTTGATGTTTCTATCTCTCTCTCTCCCTCTCCTTTCCTCACTCTGAAATCAATAAAGATATTTAAAAAATTAAAAAATTTAAAAAAAATAAAAGATTGAAATAAAATATTAATGAAGCAATCAATAATTCTTACTTAAAAGGATTTTAACTGGTTGGGCTATGCTGAGTAAACTATATGTATAGCTATTATTTATTGAACACCACAGAGTTAGAGAAATACCCATTTTATTCCAGGCACTTCCCCTGAGGGTAATACATAGCAGAGGTAGGATTCAGAGCTTGGTCAGTTTTATTTCAGAGCACATGTTTTTGTTTGTTTGTTTGTTTGTTTAAATATATCTTTATTGATTTCAGAGAGAGGAAGGGACAGGGAGGGAGAGAGAGAAGGACACATCAATGATGAGAGAGTCATTGATTGGCTGCCTCCTGCATGCCCCCGACTGGAGATCGAGCCCGCAACCTGGGCATGTGCCCTGACCAGGAATCAAACTGGGATCTCCTCGATCCTAGGTCGATGCTCAACCGCTGAGACACTCCAGCTGGGCCAGAGCAATGTTTTTTATCCATTGTACCTCATTGCTTTTTTTAGGTTCTGAAAGGGAATATAAGAGAAGCCTTTTAGGAGTTTAAGATCTTAATTTCCCTCTCTTTAAATATTTTTTATTTAATCCTCTTTGTGATGTAACAGGGGTTTGAGGTAAAACAAGGCATTTAAAATGTCATTTGGTTGTCAGTTTTTTTACATAAAGTTTTATAGATGCAAGGTATGTTAGGGAATGAAATAGAAATGCCATTAGTACAATTCACATATTTGTCTTCTGTTTTCCACAAAAACTTAAACTTTAGGTACGAGCAAAAAAGAAGAAAAGCAGTGAAGACAGAGAAAAAGCAACAGCAAGTATCACTTATGTTTTTACATGACAACAGTGTAGCTGTTTTTATTTCATGTGACGGCATTTACTAGGACCAAATAAATATTTATTGTGGTGTTCAGCAGCTTCACTTAATGGCTTCTAGAAAACTAATTGGCTCAGGAAAAAGGAAGACTACGCTGGCAGCAGATGTGTTTTGTTTCCATTTCAGTGTTTTGCTGTTAGAAATGTCAGCTTAGTGTTTTGTTTGACTTTCTTAAGGTGTAGTATGATATTAAGGTATGGTGATTCCCTCTGTCTTCGATAGTAGCTACTTCTAGATCAACAAAATCTGGTGATAACTTTCTACGCACAGGCTGCAGTGAATAATAAGCTGGAATGTGACAGCATAAATGATTCACTAATAAAGATGAATCTCTTGATCATTTCTAAAGCCAGCTCTGCTATTAACACAGATTGAGAAGTAGGAAAGGAGGAAGGAGGAAAACAACGAAAATGAAAGTGGTATTCAGATGGGCCGCTGGCTCCCCTAGGGAAGTGGGAACGTACCAAAGAGTGACGGTGACCCTGTGAGCGAACTAACTTGGGAACACTCGGTATAAGTGTGGACCATGGTCTTTACAGGCATTTCCTTAAGGAGAGGTAAAATAAAGATGAGAACAGTATCATTTGTAGGTCTAAGGGTAACTCCCATAATATCCCTAGTTCTTAAGATGAGGTCCTTCTCTAATAAGAGGTTCACTTGGTAATGTATGATTCAGAATTAACATTTTATATGCCTTCAAGACCAAGGTGACATTTAAAATAATTTGGGTGAAGACTGCTTTGGTTTTTGGCTCAGATTAATTAAGATGTAAGATTAACTAATTTTGGATAATTCTGATTTGTATTTTCTTTCTTCACTGTTTCATGCATTTAGCTAGCATGTAATTATTAAGCTTTCTAGGCACTTGTCCTAGGTCTTGATAGAGCTGTTATAATGGGGTACAAGAAAAGAGGGTGATATGTGAGAGAGAGTAACTTCTGGGAGGGAATGCCTGTCTGAGGAAGTAAAATTAAATTGAAATCTGATTTACAAGAAAGAGCCAACCATGTGAAGATCAAAGGAATTACATCCTAGGCAGAGAGAAGAGCTAAGGACCGCCTTCTCTTCTGCATCTAAAACAGTGACAAGAATCCGAGTTCAGCAAAATTTTAGCTGTCTTTATCCAGTGACAATCTGACTACTTTTACTAGGCTTCAATGGCATTTTCCTTTAACAGTCAAACATCTCTTACTAAGCTAAAGAAGACTTTTCAGCTCTCTGTCAATATTTTGTACCAGTTAGTTGTTAGCTGCATCAAGTCCTCCCAGCCTAAGCAGTACATGATATCTGTGTTTCTATTACATAGCAGGTTTAGTAGATCTGTTCTCTGAAAACTAACATTTGGACAAAACCGTTGCTTAGCTGTGGTGTGGGGATTCCTTTGCCGTAACTATAGTGACTTTACCTTTAGAAATTAAATAAATGAAATATAGCAATTGATACCATGATTCAGTTAAATTTATTTTCTACAGGAAATTTTGATGTAAGCTCCCTTGAGGTGCTGATGACTTAAGTGTTTCTTTACCCTTTTGAAAGTCGATGTGCACTCTGTGTCCTAATAGTGATTATTGAGACTTTTCAAGAAGAAATGCTTTGAAATAACTGCATTAGCTCAGAAGTACCATGGTAAACTTGTTATTTTTAATGCATGTGTTCATGTAGAAATATCTCACATGGAACTGTCTTTACAGGAAAAATCAAAAAAGAAAAAGAAGCATAAGAAGCACAGTAAGAAAAAGAAAAAGAAGGCTGCTAGTTCCAGTCCTGGCTCACCGTGACGTTGGGAACCAGGACTCCCTTACAAAGAAGTGCAATGTCGGAGGAGATCTCAACTGTGAAAATAATAGCATCTTTACTAAAATGCATGACTTCTGTTGTTTCTAGAATTATTCCTGACCTGTTCAGTAGCCACTCAGAGCTGCTGTGTGAAAGGGCCGTAACAGTTGCCTGCTGCTTGAACATCTGTCTTTTTCTCTTCCATTGCTTACTAACTGGGAGATAATACACTGCAGTTGTACTGGTGGCTGACATTTGGGAATAAAGTTAATATTTTTGACTAGAAGTACCTGATGATAAACCAACAGAAATTGAGTCTGGATACATCATTAATATGTAAGCAGAAATGACCAGATGACTCTAATGTTTTTGAAGTAGGGATTACATTGATATTTCAAAATCCTTACTCTGTAGATAGTGTATTTTAATTTTTTCCCCTTGTATACTTTTATTTACCTGGGAAAGGAGCTTTTAAGGGTGGGGGTGGTTTGCTATTTCTTTAGCTAGCAAAATAGCGTGCCTTTTATCCTCACACCCTGTTTTTGTGGACACAGTAGCCATGCTTCATGGAGAGGTCAGAGCTGGGTACGACAGTCTTACATTTTCCTGAGTTAGTAACATCCTTGGACTCTGTCGTATGCTTCTGTGAGTGAACCAGAGAAACAGCCTTTTGCAACACGAGAAAGCCCCAGAAGCTCTGGGATTTACCTCCACTTCGATAATACTGAATGATTTTTAGCATTAGAATGTGTTGTAACATTTGAATTAATTTTGACTACAGTTTGGCTTTGGGAAGGAGTCATTTCCAGTAGACACTGGTACTTTTTGAACTTGATAGCTAAAGATTCTAAAATGCATGTTTTATACTGTTAAGTTTTAACCAGTCAGGAAAATTTTATGTAACCAGTGATAGCTATTTTTTGTATGAATTTTGTTAGGCTGTAATGTTTAGCCTTTATTAACTTTTTATTCTTGCTATCTTAAATTCCTTACTGCATTAATGGCGTTCTTGCCAAAATATTTAGCATGTGAAAAGCAGGTTTTTGGTTTGGTTTGTTTGTAACAGCTTCATATTGAAGCTGAAACCATATACAAGTTGAGTGGCAGGCCTGGTATGCTCTGTCTTGTTACATAAAGCTCTTGCCAGAATCTTAGTAAATATGTTTTAAAAGTTTGTCTTTGTATATTCATAAAAAATATGACAAGTTAAACTTAACTGAGAATTACATTATTGCTCTTTCTGTGTCGTTTTACTAAGATTTTTCTGCCTCATATCTCGTGCTGAATTGTTTACTAGTTATGTTAAAGGAATTGATAAATCATTTTCACTTTACATTTTTATATAATCGGGTAACATGAAATATAATTTGATGTATAATTTTGCCTGTGTGCTAATTATAGTGGTATATGCACAAAACATTTTGGCATGACAAGAGGCTAAATAAATAGCTATTTTACTTAAAAATAGCCGTGTTCTATCAGCTCCCTTTGAGTCACAAGTAAAGTTACAGTGATTAAGAAACACAACTAGGTGTTAAGTGGCAGAAGAATAAGACATGTCTCCAAGTTTTTAGCTGTAAAAATAAGATGTTTCTTGGTTAGTTTCATTAAATTTTATGCTTAAAGCTTCATATTCTTACCTAATAAAAGATATCTGTATGCTCTTGAGTACACAGCAAGTTTGAGGGACATTTTGTACCCAAAAGGAAGTTTGGGTTTTGGCCACCTTGGACATAGTTACATCATGTTTTCCTACTAGTTAGTCAGATATAAGTTGGAGGGATAAAAGTGTAGAGTTTACTGTTTCTCTAGAAACTCCTAGATTGAAGCCTCTGTTTGGATATCATGCGAAGGTACTTGGTTTGAGTTTTCAAATGAGGTTATAACCTTTGAAGGCACTTTTTATAGCCTGGGAAATTATTTCAGTTTTAAGGTCTTTATTATGTAGCTTAATTTTGTTCAGATAGGAGGGAAACATTATCAACTGTAGAATTTGTGCTGAGGAAATAGAAATGGCAATAATATCAAGTACCATTTTCAGTGGTGGTTAGACCCAAAGAAAAGTTAAAATGTTAGAATTGCTGTAATATTTAAGATCACAGTAACGTTAATGAAATCACTACATTATTACTGAGTGGTAACAATCATTGCATGTTTTTCCAGTTACTTGAGAACCTTCTGTGTTTGGTTGCTGAAATGTTGCCATAGTCACCTTCTGTGCTGGGTATGACATAGTGGACTGGAATCAGTGGCAGCCCAGGATGCCCAGGCTTGGAGCTAGGCTATTTGAGAAGTGTGCAGTGTGCGGAAGCCACATTCAACATGGACCAGAAGGCTCTGAGGAATCTGGTGGAATCCATCAGTAAAACTATCAAGAGCTGTAAGTGCTGAGCAGACATCCAGCACTGTCTGAGCATCTTTATGCTTCGTAAGCTCCAAATTAGAGTTCCTCTGTTTTCTATATAATATTTTGGTCACTTTAAAAAATAGCAAGTGAACAATTACTCCTGCACTTACGCTGAAAATAACCAGGTGTCCTAAAATATATTTGTGTATGTGGAAAGAAGTGCTTGAAAACTTATGTGACATCATAAGTGCTAAAGGACTGTCTGCCATCCAAGGACTGATTTTTTTGTTATCTGAAATTTAATAAGAGATTTAAAAGTATGAAGGTTTACTTGGACCAGTTCTCTGAGTTCTCTGGCATAAATCCATAGAAGGAGATGATTACTCTGCTTCAGGGGATTGATAGAGATACATAACAGGATACTAGATGTTGAAGTAGCATGGTGCTTTGAATGTGACAAATGTTTATGAAAACTAGTCTAACTTAACAGATTTGGCAGGGGTGGGGGGTGTTCCTTGCCCTGACAGACCTTAAAAAGTAATGTTGTGAATGTTTTTTCTCAGGCATGACCACAAGCCATCCTGACTGATGATCTAGAGAATCTCTTTTTAGAATTGGAAGAAATTACTTTTATTTCAGCCACATAATTTTATATACTCATTATTGGGCACTTCCACTTCTCATGTGTCCTCCCTCGTAAGGATAGACAACACCTTTCTAAGAATCTCATTGTAGACTTAATTGTGTTTTTTCTTATTGTGGTTGGATTTTAAATGATCTAAACCCTTCAGGTACTTCCAGGGCCTGTTTTCCAATCCTGCTGTCAGTTCAATCCTTAAATCTTATTGGCAGATTTAGCCAGTGCTTAATAAATATCTTCTGTCATTTGCTGCTTTCTTTTAACAGAGCCTGAGTTTTATGACATTCAAAAGGAAATTTGGCATACTTGAAAAAGTATAGCCCCTCTCCCCATCCTAATGAAATTATTTTTAGCAATGTCTGCTAAATACCATATTGTTATTTGAAAGCAGTTCTCTGAAATAGCCTGTAAGTATGAATATGTAATACTTGATGAGACCCATATCCCACAGTCTTCTACAAAGAAGTTATTTATAACCATTGTTTGAAAAAAGAAATGAGTTACCATTTCTTTTTCCAAAGTTTCTATTTTTGTTTTCTCAATTTTTTTAAAATTTATCTTTATTGTTGAAAGTACTACAAGTATCCTTCTTTTTCCCCCCATTGTCCTCCCCACTCCTGTCCACTCCCCAGGCCTTCACCCTACAATTTTTCCAAAGTTTTGACATTGATTCCCTGTAACCAGATGAATACTTTACACTCAGATTACTAATAGCTGATGTTCATGGAGCTCTCCATTGGCAAGACACTGTGCCGAGTGGTTTATGTTCATCATCTTTAACTCAGAACAAACCAGGTAAGGTGGTAATTTCCACAGTTTCAGATGAGGAAACCAAGACTTAGATTTTGTTTGTCTGAAGTTACAGTTAGTGGATTTTTCTTCCTGGTGGAGGCAGAGCTAGAACTGGAATCTTTATTTCTCAAGTTAACTCTCCTAATTAGCATTATAGACCCTCATGGTCATTCTGTATAGTGCTGTCCCATAGTGAACAATGAACATTGTTGAATTCAGCTCAGTTCTTGGGTCCTTCCATTTGAAACCGGGACAGACACTGTTCCTCTCATGAGTGGTTTTGGTTCTTAATGGGGAGTGATAAGGACTACCGCTAGTGCTGCCTTGGCCTTCTCAATAAGGGACTGTCTTTTTATTCTCTTGGTGCACAAAGTTCTAATTATCCCATGTGGCTGAAAGTTGAAGTGGTTTTTCCTGGGCTTTGCTTTAGAGATTCTTAGGAAAGAGCCTTCATAAGTTGCTCAGCCCTCATATGCCACGTGGCCTCTTTGATTCAAAGGGCTATCACTGCATTTCTCTCTTTACAGAGACCCTCCACTGGTGTCCAGTGACTTCACAAAGGAAAATTAATCACCTTACCAAGCAGCTGTTTCCATTTTTTTCCAGAGAGATCTAAAGTGTATATTCTAGAGCTACTGTAACTTCCATTGATCTTCATACTGCTCTCTAGAGCTTCATTGTCCCATATGGTGACCACCAGCTACAGAGGACTATTTGAACGTAAATTATACTTAAGTGCAATTTAAAGTCCAGTTTTGGTCACAACCATTTTCCCAAGCACAATAACTAATGTGGGTTGTGGCTACCAAATTGGAGCAGCACAGATACAGAACATTCCCATCATCTCATTAGGTTCTTTAATAGTGCTGCTCTAGAGTCACAAATCTCATTCCCTTTCCCAAACAGTAGCTCCTTTATGTCATGTGGAGAGGCAGATAAATTCCTTCAGGATGTAATAAATGGCTTCAAATGTATACAAACTATGTTCTCATAGGGCCCTGTGCTCAGTTTAGTGCCCTGACAAAAATTTGTATTTGGACCCACAAGTTTTGTTGTCGATCCTGGCTCTGTACCTCATTCGTTGTGCGGCAGGAGGATCTCTCCACCGTCAGAATCACCTAACAGTTTGTATTGAAAATGCAGCTTCCTGGGCACTACCCTAGGCATATTTTAAAATCCCTGGAAGTGGGGCCAGACATCCAGATTGTTCACTCTGTGTATTCTTAGACACTAAAGTTTGAGGATTCCTGACCGAAACTGTCTTTTCCAGGTGAAACTTCAATCTGTCGGCCTAACATCAATCTCAACTTGATTGATAGGGAAATGGGAATTGACCCAGGCTAAGTGAAGAATTTTAAAACTCTCTGACTTCATATTGTTTGATTCAGCTGATTATTTTGGCATCTAGACGTTAACTCTCACCTGGCATGCTCCTTAATTTCTCCAGTTTACAAGTGGCTGATGATTATTTAGCAAACATTAGCCTACTACCATGCTCTGTCGGGACTACTTGATACTGAGTAGATACTAACATAAGGATGGTTAAGAGATTTTGTCACACGTCTTGTTAAAATTGAAATACTTTGTGGGCTGCATTTCTCTGATCCACTCCTAACGGGGAGAAGGAAGTCTAGTGTGATTTGCCCTTGTGAATTCATGAGCCCTTCTTTCCTAAGTGTTCGTGAGTTTTTAATATAATTGTTTTTCCTGGCACTTAGCCCTGGACCACCTACAAGCCCACCAGTCCAATATTTTTGGCTTTCACTTGTAAGACATAACATGGGCCAATAGGTGTGCTTACATAGGTTAATACACATTTTCCTGGCTATGTCTGCTGAGAAGGCTTATAAATAACACCCCAGTAGCAACAGGCACACCCAGTACCTAGACCTTGGTTTCAAAAGAGCAATCTCCAATTTTAAAAAATTACAAAACAAAACAGGATTCCTTGACAAAGCTGAACAGTGTAAAGGAAAAACCTGCAGTACTTTTTGTTTCTCTTTGACACTACTACCACACGTCTATCACTTCTATTTGCCAACTGGAGTTTTTCCCCAGCAAGGAATTCTGGCACCAGCTGGGTGTCCTACAGTTTAACTCAATTCTGACACTCCCTGCTGATAGAATGAGATCCCGCAGGTCAGTAGTTCAGTACTACAAGAGTGTGCCTCCCCCCACTTCAGATGCCAATCACAAGTCCAGGTTGTTACTGTGCCACAGGCTCTGACCAACTGGCTGTAAATCTGAGGTTCCCACAGCCACTTCCTTGGGTTCAATTAATTTGGTAGAGTGGCTCACAGAACCTGGGGAAACAGTTTACTTACTAGGTTAGCAATTTATTATAAAAGGATATAATTAGGAACAGCCAGGTGGAAGAGATGCATAGAACAGGTGTGTGGGGAAGGATGTGGAGCTTCTGTGCTTTCTCCCTGCACCTTAATGTTCACCAGCCCTGGGGGGTTTTGTGGAGAGTATCACATGGGCATGATTGTTACCCAAATTTCCAGCCCCTCTCCAAAGGATGGTGGGTCGGGCTGAAAGATCCAAGTTTTAATTGTGGCTTGGTCCTTCTGTTGACCAGGAGCCACCAATAGTCATGTTAAGACATTCCTATCACCCACGAAATTCTAAGGGATTTAGTGTTTTTCTATTTGGGTCAAAGACCCAAATAGAAAAAAAGATGCTCGTAGTGCTTATATCACTTGGAAAATTATAGAGGTTTTAGGAGCTCTATGCTAGGAACTGGGGGCAGAGACCAACATATATTTTCCTGTTATCTCATAGGGATATTACAAATGAGCCTGGCAAGTAGTGCCAGAAAGCAAGGAATTGTTGGAAAAACAGAAGGTTGGGGATATGTGAAAGACAGGAGCCAGCTTGGAAACTCCCAATCACCAAGGCTGGAACAATTTGAGAACAAAATAACAATATTGGTATAAAATGTGACCATATGAACATAAATGGAAAAGAGGCCAATCTTTCTTACCCAAGAATTCCAAATAGTAGTATACCCCTTCCCAAGTAGTGGCGCCTAAGTCCCTTTTCTTTGAGAGACTGGCCTCTAAAGAAACGATTGTGGAAAAGGAAAGGTAAGTACAGTGGAGAGACCTGCACACTAGCTTAACCAAGTAATCAAGGTCACATGTATGCCCCTGAGGTGTGATGATAAGGATAGCACTTTATCTCGCATTCTTCCCCCAAACACACAACCATAGTATAATCCTGAGAAAAACATTAGACAAAGCGAAACTAAGGAACATTCTTAAAATAATTCACAGTCATGAAAAGCAAGGAAAAACTGAAAAGAGTAGAGGAGATATGACGACCAAATGGATCCTGGAACAAACAAAAAGGACAGTGGGAAAACCACTAAATCTGTAATTTAGTTGATAATATGCCAGTTGCTGTATTCCTTTTGCCAAATGTACCATGGTTATGTAAGATGTCAGCATTAGGGAGAAACAGTGAAGGGTTTACAGGAGCTCTGTACTATGATTGCATCTCCTGTAAATCTAAAATTATTATAAACTAAAAAGCTTAATAACGTGTCAATCTCTGGCATCTCAACACCATTCTCCCTGTCCACGATTTCTCAGATGTCACACTCATACCTTGACCATGTGCATAAGGTCCTCACACTTAGTGAAATGTGAGCCACAAGGATAAACTCAGAAAAAGGTACCTGCTGAAGATTGTACCTGTAACCCCTGATTGCTTTGTTGGATGGCTTGTCAATATTTGACTCAGAGCAGCTCCTCACTTTCTTCAGGGATCCATTCAATGTCATTGGTGCTAACATTTCCACTCGGGTAGTAATTCTCCATCAGAGTAGAGCAGGACGACTATCAGACAAGCATATATTACTATGCCCTGTGCAGAGTGTGTCCACATCTGAGCTTCCATTTTCTTCATATTCCAAAAAAGAAATGTATTTCCAAATTGTCCTCAGAGCAATTGAATCCCTATCACCTAACCCTGAAAAGTCACATCGCCTCATTTCCACTGTACTCTATTGGTTGAAAGGAAACCGGTACAAAAGCCCCTCTAGTTTCAAGTGAGGGAGACAGACCCCACCTCTCTAAGACCAGGGTATCAAGTCTCATTGTAAGAAGGGCATATGGGGTGGCATAGATTGTTTCTATGGTCTTTGGGGAAATACAGTCTGTCACATCTGCACTCCCCATCCATAAGGTAATTTCAGGAATCTGCCAAACGATCTTAAGTGCAAATCTGATCCTGTTAACATGCCAGTTTTTCAGTAAGCTCCCGTTGTCTTAATTTAGTTCTGCCACCTAGCCACACCAAGCCCCCTGCAGCTCCCAGAACGTGCCTCTGTGCATGCAGGCTGCCTCCTGGGCTCATGCGTACTCCTTTGGCAGGTCTTAGCTCAGGACACCTCCTTGGGACCCTGCCTGATTTCTTCCCACCTCCCCCCATCTGAGTAATTCCTTCTTTGGGTCACCCCCTAACCACTATCAATCACAGCGCTGGTATTGCCTTAACTGCCCTTATTTCTTCATCTCCACTAAACTGTAACATCCTTGAGGGCAGGAACCATGGAGCAGTCCTTGCCCGGTTCACGGAAGACCCTTAAATGCTTATTGGATGGGTAAAAAAGACCTTTATGCCGTATTTCAGGGCTCATAGCTACAGTGTGAAGCCTGAGGGTCTAATTCTGTTCATAAAATAGTAGTATTAGGTGCCTTTGTAATGGCTTATTCTTTAGGTGTGTCAACCGTTGTCCTAGGAATCAAGTCATTGTGCCCGCAGTGGAAACCCTATTGTAAGCGGCACATTTGCTGTGTGCGGTCATTCATTTCAGTTGTGTAACCTGAAATCGCCTCGAAGACAGCATCTAAAAGAATTCTTTTCCTCCCCACCTTCCCCACAAAAAAGAAGAGGCAGAAGGAGAACGGAAAGAAAGAAAAAGAAAAAAGGAAGGGGGAGGACAAGGTAGAGAGAAAGACAAATAGTAACGAGCTTTCCCTCTTTATTTTTTTAATATGTGTTATTTCAGAGAGAAGGAGAGAGGGAGTTGAAACATCAGTGATGAGAGGTCCATTGATGGGCTGCCTCCTGCTCGCCCCCTGCTGGGGATCGAGCCCGCAGCCCGGCAGGTGCCCTGACCCGGATCGAACCCCCATCGCCTGGATCCTAGGTCATGCTCAGCCGCTGAGCCACGCAGGCCGGGCTCCCTCCCCTTTTAGTTCTCTCAATCTTTGATTCATAGAATTAAACTTTTAGAAACTTGAGGACTCTGAGATCACTTAGGACAGACAAGACTCAGTTTTCATAGGTGAGGAGGCATAAAGATCTAGATGACGTGTCTCTCAGCCATTTAGTCTCAGACACGGAAGGGGAACCCACGTGCTTAACTCTAGTCGTACCACCAGCCCACTGAGTCTAACCCCTTAGTTCTCAGTCCTGATGGTGCGTTGGAATCACCTGTGCACCTCTTCAGTCCACCGTTAGTTCGCTAAGTTTGGAGTGCGATCCAGGTACATGATATTAAAAAGCTTCGGTTTGAAATCAGTCACCAGGTCCTACCGGGTTTTTTGCAGTGTCTCAGGCTCCCTCCCCGCTCTCTGCCCTCACTTCCACCTCCCTAGGCCCATCGCTCCAAGCCTGGCTTCTGTGCTTCTGGTCTCCCCTTCAGTACAGCTGGCCACTTCTCTTCCTAAACCACTTCTCAGCCCTGTGAGGCACAGAAGCGTCAACTGAGCTCTTGTTTAAAAGCTAGTTCCTGGGCCCACTGTTAGCAATTCTGAGGTAGGTCTGGGGCAAGGCCTGGCAATTTGCACGTGTAACAAGCAAATCAGGGTTTAAAGAGGGGGTTGATTTTCATACCCCCTCTCATGGTCCAAAGATGACACCATGAAAAACACTGTTCCAGTGAAATAAATGTGACTCTTCTGACCAGGCTTTCAAGACTCTACCATCAGCCCATTCTCTTCAATCATTTTTTACTTCTGCCCAAGTTTCTTGCTCCCTATAAGACATGTTCAACCTCAACCCCCATTCTACCTCTTTTCTTTACTCATGGTGTTCCCTCTCCCTGGAATTCTCCACTTGTTCACTATCCCCAACTCATTCCTTCCTATAAAAATGCTATGCATCCTTCAAGGCTCAATTCAAAGTCCACTCCCATGGAAATGGCCCAATTCCTCTTTCTGAGTGAGATCCATCTTAACTGTGTAACCTTTTAAGTAACAAGTCCATGTTGTTCTTTTAAAAAAATCACTAGGGCATCTAGCATCATAGGAAAACATAGATTTTATTAAAAATATTTTTAATTAGGTTGAAGAACTCAGTGATTGTCATATTTATATTTTCATTTTACAGTCAAAAAAGGTGAAGTGGAGTGTCTCATAATCCTTTTTCACAACTTGGCGGAAAGAGCTGATATGAGACTTGATAACGTTGGACTAAATCGGAACACATTTCTAATGGTTCTGCACAGCTTATTTGGAATAACCGATGATAAGCTAATGAATAGGGGTAAGAAGTCATAGAGACTGAAATGGGCCAGCTGGATGGCAAACATATATATATGACATATATATATATTAAAATAGATTAATGGCAAATATTATATATTTAATTTTCATCAAAGACTTTGAGTTTTTTAATGCTGAACTAGAAGGACAATCTGGTAGTGCTGCCAATACAAATCACTAGTTGATTTTATTGTCAAGATGGTTTTTAACATAAACTTGCTCGGGATTTCGTATAACTGTACCACTTTGAGAGATAACTAGTAATGGGCTAAATAAGCTAGCAGTATTGTTTTTTAAAGATAAGCATGTGGCTTTTAATCTTGATATCTATGAATTCACATGCTGTAGACATGTAAATTTTTAAATTATTTTTCCTCATAAAAATGAAAAATATATTAGTATAAAAATGATACTCATTAAACTGAAAGAAATCAAAGATTTTATTTATTTAAAATACGGAGTTATTGAATGTGATCCAGTCATTTTCACTAACAGATTTTTAGTGTTCAATTTGGTAAGTTTATATATATATATATATATATATATATATATATATATACACACACA